TCCAGACCAGATAATATTAAATTGGTGCCAGGTAAAATTCAATGATATTCAGGAAGGGTTGGACTTGGACCATTGGTGGGAACGTAATGATTCTATCCTGTTTCCCCCAAAATACGACCTATCCTGAAAGTAAGCCCTAGCTTGATTTTTTTTACACGTGCGCCCTATATAAGCCCTACCCCCCCCCCAAATAAGTCCTAATTAAGATCCCATCCACTCCGGGGGGGACGGGCAAAAATTAAGCTAGGGTGAGGATGCGGGTGGGTGGACCTGCCCTGCTACTTACCTGCCTGGCCGGCCCATTTCTTCTGCAGCCGGCACGGCTTTCCTGAAGGCCTCTGGAGCTGAAAACAAACCTCTAGATCGATCCAGAGCTCTGTCATCAGCTGCAGAGACCCCCAGGAAAGCCTTGCCGGCCGCAGAAGAAGAAGTTCCGGAAGGCCTCTGACAGGTGAGGTTAGTCAGTGGAGGACATCCCCCCAAAATAAGACCTGGTGCCTTTTTTGCTGGCAAAAAAATGATAAGACAGGGTCTTGTTTTCGGGGAAACTCGGTAGGCTTCTAACGCGTTTAACTCCACCTCCCTGGCTTTTGCCTGCTCTTCTCTTATGCTTTCTTGTCCTTCACAGGGCCATCGAAGCCGCCATCGAAAGGCTGAGCAAACGCCACAAGTACCACATCCGGGTGTACGATCCCCGAGGAGGCCAGGACAACCTCAGGAGGCTCACCGGCCAGCACGAGACCTCCAGCATCACAGAGTTCTCGGCCGGAGTGGCCAACCGGGGCGCTAGCATCCGGATCCCTCGCCAAGTAGGGCAAGATGGCTTTGGCTACTTTGAAGACCGACGGCCGTCCGCGAACTGTGACCCCTACGCAGTCACGGAAGCCATTATGCGGACCGCCATACTTGGGGAAACGGGAGATGGACTTGTAGATGAAACGGATGAAACGCGGCTGCTAAGGGCCACTCTCAAGGACTGAGCACCCCACGAACCACGGCCAACCAACCCCCCACCCCTTCCCAATTCGTTCTGCGCCTGTTAGTAAACATCTGGCAACTTCAGAAAGATTCTCTTTGGGTTCTGTGTTGACTTCCACATTCTACCTTTGAGACACCGAATTGTGTTCTCCCCACCTAGTAGACATCACAAAGTGCTAAGATCATACTAGTGAGGTTCCCCAAATTAGAGCTTCTTAGAAAATTGAGTTGGTGGGACAAACAGAGAGGAAAATTTCAAAACTATAGATATATCAGAATAGAACTGGAAGGGACCTTGGAGGTCTTCTAGTCCAACCCCTTCTCAAGCAGGCTGTCCAATCTCTTCTAGAAAACCTCCAGTAAATTGGGGCACCCACAACTTCAAGTTGATTTTGTAACAAGTTTGTGTGTGTGTGTGTGTGAGGGAGAGAGAGAGAGAGAGAGAAGGGGGGGTAGAGAGAGGGGGGGGGGGAGAGCTAAATGTCAGAAATGGTGCAGGGTCTCCTGCTAGGGGAGGGAGTTCGACTAGATGGCCTACAGGGTCCCTTCCCTCTGTTAAAGATCAACTTTGGCATCTCATGAATGCAGCTGCCATCATTCTCTCTTGCCACAAGAGGGAGACAGGTGTGCTTTGCTTCTTCCTGCATCTTGCCAGCTAACACCACCCTTTTGAAGACGCTATAACGTGCAATTATATATATAAAAAAATCGGGGGAAATTGTTTCTGGGTATCAGGCAAGATTAGGAATGGTTGAAACTGGGAGTACTGCGTTTTCAAGGCAGCTGCAAAGCCAAGTTTGCAGTCTGGTACCTCCAGATATCGGGACTCCAAGTGTGATGGTGATTGTGTGATGGTCTTGATGGAGGACATGACCAACCCTCCTAGTACCCAAAGAGTTGCTTCCAGGTAGACTACAAACACCTGGAGGCCGGGGTGGGACTATTCTCAATGTTGATTGCTAGTTAAAGCTATTTGATTGGAAAGGCTTTGGAGCAGTGGTGGGATTCAATTTTCTTTTACTACAGGTTCTGTGGGCGTGGCTTGGTGGGCGTGGTAGGGGAAGGATGCTGCAAAATCCCCCTTCCGCCCCCACCCCACCAACCTGCTTTCCAGCTCCGTTCTCCTGTGCAGGGCAACCCAAGGAGACCCCGCTGACCAGCTGGGACTCAATGAGAGGCAGAGAAGAGATGGGGTTGGCAGGGCCAGTCAGAGGTGGGATTGGCCAGTTCTCCGAACTACTCAAAATTTCTGCTACCGGTTCTCCAGAACCAGTCCAAACTGGCTGAATCCCCACCTCTGCTTTGCAGGCACCCAACAGCTTCTCCTGAATGTCTTTCAGAATCTTCCCCTTGATGGTCTTCTACGGCCAGTAGATCTTCCTGAGTCACCCAGAAGGTGGTGGATTCCTTGCGTGTTCACGAGGGTGGCTTTTGGTCTCTCTTTTCTGGAATCCGATGCCACGAGTAGATCACGACACCGGACACCTGTCGGTGCTGCTCAGCACCTTGAATCACCAGACTGGATTGGCCGAGAGCTCGAGCTGCTTGACAACTTTTGTCTTCCCACCTGTGAAATGGGCATAGAAATATTTGCCTGTTTCATAACGAAGAGCTGATTCATGGCTGGCCTTACCAGTTTCTTACTCACAAATAGTATTTGATGACTTTTTCTTAAGAAAAACTGGGCTCACGCATTCCCCTTCCGGCCTTCCCTGCAGGGCCTTTTAAAAAACACGAGTTTCGTTTTATTTGGACAGGAAGTACAGGCTGTTACTGAATCAGAGAGTTGAGCAAGTTTGTAGTTTAAACGAAGCACCTGTCAAGAATGTTGCTTCTAGGGCGAAGAATAAGATTTACAGTCAGCAAAGGTAGAAATATTGCTGGCTGGTCTTGAGCTTCGCACCTAAGATCAGACTTGGTTGGCTCTTGGATGGAATAACGTCAAGAAACCACATACTGTAGACTAGGAACATGAAAAAGTCCAGAGGTGCTTCTCCCCCCCCCCCAAAGAAGCTTCTTCAGCTCTGAAGAAGAGAGAAGAGCTGAAGAGAGAACTGAAGAAGCTTCTTGGATGAGAAGCGAAAGAAAAAACCAGAAAATCCAGTTGCCTCTTGAAAAAAGCGCCTTTGGGACAACCATGATGGCGAATCACCATAGATATTGAACACTGGAAGTTTTTAAGAAGAGATTGGACAGCAATTTGTCCTGGATGATATATGTTCTCCTGCTTGTGCAGGGGGTTGGACTAGAAGACCTCCAGGGTCCCTTCCAACTCTGTTGTTCTGTTCTGTTCCCTGTTTCCTCTCAAAATCCCCCAATAGACAGGCATGATTTTCCAACACTACCCAAGCACTTATGCAGCCTGGTGCCCTCTAGCTTTTCTGACACCCAACGTTTCCAGCGAACAGCTGTGTTTTAAAAGAACCAGGCCAAGCAAAACTCTTCTCCAGCAGGCCTCAGCCCTGTGAATTGCAAAGCTCTCGTCCATCTCCTCTTCCTTCCCTTCCCTTTCCAATTAGAAGAACTGGTTTTCCTCAGCCTTGATTCCAGACAGCCAATTAAATCGGCTGTTATTCCCCCTTACTTAATAATGGCTTCCACGGTGAAGTAATTTTAGACTTTGGACTGAAGGTTTGGCGGAAGTTCCCCTGGCGAGACAGCGAGAGGCCTATTCGCTCACATGCGTGTGTGCCGTCTCCAGCTGCAAATGGACAACAACACTTTCCCCGTATTCCGGGATGGATGCTGGGAGGCGGGGAGGGGGAGAAGAATGGAGAAAAGGGCCTGGAGTCAGAGCTTCACAAACTGCGGGAGCATCTTCTTGGCTCCTGGAGAGACTGGCGTGTCTTCAAAACATTCACCCCCTTTGGCCTAGAAGAGCCATGGGGGGGGGGGAGGCTGGGGGGGGGGGGGGCAAAAAAAGGGACGCCACCTGCCATCCTCCCCAGGCCTTCTGAGCCGGCTGCAAAATACTCATTTCCCAACTCCTCCTTCCCTTCCAAGAACTTTCAAAAGACGGTGGGAGGAGGTGCCAATGGCAAACCAGGGGGCTTAAGGGCAGCCTCTGCTGTCTCTCTTGGTGGGGATTTTCACCCCTTCCTTGGCTGCCGGAGCTATTTATTTCCCCCCCCCCTCACTGCAACCAAACAGAGCCTGTTTGGCTGAATTTCATCCTTGTTTTCAGTGTTTTCGCTACTGGCGACCACCGATGGATTCCAGGAAAATGAGTCAGAGTTTGTAGTGCATCACATTTTCAGTCTTGCAACGTCCTTTTTAAGTATACATCGAGTTGTACACCCTGGTTGTAATCAGTATTCTCTTAGTCATGCATTTATAGTCTCTTAACTGCATATTGTTGTACTTCATAGTTATAACCTTTATTTTCATACTTATACCATAACATTCTATATATTTATCTCACTCCTTTTCGGGTGTGACTCCAACCGAAGGGATCCCAAAAATTTTTTGCCTCTCCTTTTTAAGCATTAGCCTGCTCCGATCTGTTGGCCCAGCAGGTAGGAATTCAACCGATCAAGCTTCACTCCGGGCTAGGAAAAGGTATAAAATGTGCCATTTCTTGCCCTGATTAAGTCCCTTGAGTAGCCCACTGCTTTTTCCGTGTGTTGTCTTGAGCGCGGCTGGGGATGATGGATCCCCCTCGCTCCGATCCACCTGGAAATCTCCACTTGGGGGCGATGGCCACGTTGGTTCGCCTTTCCAAGTTGAGCAAGCCTCAGTCTTACACCTACTGGTATAAACCTCCATTCCTCCCCTCGAAACCGGGAGCTTCAACCCCCTTCTCAATCCGACAACGGGGATGATGGGAACTGGAATCCGAAGCGTCAGGTTGGGAGAGGCTGATCCAAGCGCGCACCTCCAGCCTAGCCAAGCGCAGGACAGCTGGTTCCGCGCCCCCCCCCCAGAAGCGGTTGGGGCTGGAGGGGGATTAAAGGGGCGGGGACAGGGGTGGCCCTTGGAAGGGGGCGGTGCCCTCGATGCCCCGCCCCGAGGCCGCAGGTAGAGCGAAGGAAGCGAAGCTGCGGATTCCGCAATCCAGGTCGGGCAGGAGCGAGAGAGAGCGGCGCGTAAAAACGCAGCCGCAGGAAAAGCCAAGACGCAACGGACCCCGGAGCAACCCGGCTAAGGCAGGCCCTTCTCTCTCTGCCCCCCTCCCACTTCCCCTCTCGGCCCGGCCATGGGGAAGGTCCAGCTCTTCGAGATCCGCTTGAGCGACAGCCGGGTGGTCTACAGCCCCGGCGAGCCGCTGGTGGGAAGCGTCACCGTTCGCTTAGCCGGAGCTCTCCAATATCGCGGTAAGCCTGGATGGAGGAAGGCGGGGACCTGGCTCTCGTTGCACCTGGCCGAGGGGGCGTTCAGGGGGTTCGGCTCCTGATGGAGACCGGGGGGTTCCTTCCTCTTCTCCTCCCCCGGCCAAGGGTTGAGATGTTGCAGCTTCGGATTGGGACCCCAAGGAAGGCAGGGGAGCGCCTCGAAGTCTTCCTACCGAGGGGGGTGGGTGTCATCTTCCCCCATTTGGGGTTCAACCCACTGGGGAGGTGATGGATGGGCGCCCCGAGACCTGGCTTCTTCTGGAACCCTGGAGCGGAGCTTCTTCTGGAACCCTGGAGGAGAAGGCCTTCCGTCTGCTAAAGCAGAAACTTCGAACCTGTTTCCTGTCTAAAGCAAGCCAGGGAGAAGCTCCTGCCAAAAAGGAAAAACCTCATTTTAGCTAAAAGGTGTGTGTGTGTGTGTTTCTCCCAGGAAATCAAGGCATAGGGAGGGTTCTTGGCTGGGGGGGGGCAACCCTGTAACGCAGGGGACCCACCGTGGCCGAGGGGGTCAGACTGGAGCCTTTGATAGGAGTCTGTGAACCGCAGTTGCTTCCTTTGGTTGGATTGAAGCTCGGTTGCCCTCCCAAGGGACAGCTGCGGGTGGGTGGGTTATGGCAGTGAGTGGCTCCCCCCCCCAACCTGGTGGGGACGGGGGGGGGGGGGGGACACCGGATTCCGTGGAGAGAGTTTTTTTCAGTGGCCCAGAGGGGGGCGTGGTCTCATGGGCTGCCTGCACCCCACCGATAGGGCTTTGCTGGGTTGTGTGGTCGGGATCTCTGGTTTCCAGGACTGCCGTAAAGAGATAAGCCCTGGTCAAGCTACAGAGACACAGAGAGAGAGAGTCCTCGGCTTACAACCCCAAATGTCTCCTGCTAAGCGAAAAAGGGGGTTCACTGAGTTGTGCCTCATTGATGCCCACCTGTCCCACCCCCTCCCCCGTTGTTAAGTGAATCACTGCACTCCGAGAAGTAAATTTTGGCTTCCCCAGAGCTTGTCCAAAGGTTCCCAAAGGGGATCGTGTGACCCCGGGATGCTGCGACCGTCATAAATGTGAGCCAGTTGTCCAAGCACCTGAATGTTGGTCCTCTGATCGTGGGGAGGCTGCAATGGTCGTCCGTGTGAGAAACGGTTGTCAGCCCCTTTTTTTCAGCGTCGTAACGTGGAACGAACTGTTGTAAGTCGAGAACTGTCTGTGCATTACTAGCCCACCAATTTCTGGAAGAGCCAAGGGCCGGGATGGCGAACCTGTGGCACGCAGAACCCTCTCTCTGAGCAGGCGCATCATCGCCAGCTGCTCTTCGGTTTCCGGCGCTGAGACACGCATGACACACGGGTGCGCTCTGGTTTGGCCACTATTTACTGAAAAGGTTCGCCCTCCCTGGTCTAGGGCGAGAGACTGTTGGATGAGAAGAGAACGTCTTCCCATGAGGCAGTTGGGATGGAAGCCCCAGACTTTCCTTGTCCTGTCTGGTCTTTTTTTTCACAGGCAAGGGTGGGGGGGGCTTGAATAGAAGGAGGACTGGGAAGAGAACTGGTTGACTCAACTGTTGTTAGAACACTTGGAACCCCTGCAAAAACTCACACAAACTGTCTCTTTTGGAGGAAAGAGGAGCTGGGACAGGCCGTTCCCTGTTCCTGCAGGTTCCCCACCAAGGAAGGGAGTTTGTGTTTGGGGTGAGTGGGATGGTTTTCTCGGCCCGTGTGAGGCATCGGGACCCGTGGATTGCCGGTTGTGGAGTCCCGATGAGCTCTTACGGTTTGCTGTGTCTTCTCAGGGTGGTGTGGAGTCAGCCACGAAGGAGAGAGCACAGTTTCTTCTCTCTGACGCTTTCGAAGTTCTCCGCTGGGCCCTTCAGTCCTGGAGATCAGATCTACGGATCCCCTTGAGCGAAGGGCACCCGGAGTGTGTTGGAAGACAAGGGCTCTCCGAACGGAGTGCCATTTTCCAACAAGGGAGAATGTTTGTAGCTCAGGGTTGACCTGAGGGGTCCTTGGTGCTCTCTGAGCTTGGTTGGTTCCTTGCCGACGTTTCCTTGCCCAACTAAGTAGCGTCATCGGTGCTAGGAGTTCAGAGGGCGCCAGGGACCCTTCACAAGTGCATTGGACACAACGTCCTGGCTGACCTGGCATCTGCTTGGCAGATTCTTTTCCTGGGCACCACTGAACACAAAGGGGCGTTTTGGAAAGAATGGGTGTGTGAACTGGCCAAGTCGACACTACTTCAAGGCCTCTGCCAAGAATTCTTCAGACGCCTTTGAATAAGAAGCAATTGGCAGCCAGTTAGCTGGTGCCGGATCTTTTTTTCCCTTTCTCCTCGCCATGAATCTGATTTTGATCTCTGCCCTCTCAGCTTCATTCACCCTAATGTTTCTGGAGTGAGAATTTGCATGGCAGGTAGAATATTTGGATGAACTTGGAAAGCTGGTTTAGGCCTTACCTGGATTTGGATGAGACACTAGAAGATCCTGGAGCTGCAACCTAGACAGAGAACTGTAAACAAAAGAGACAATGGCAACTATTTCTGGAAAAAAAAAACTCGCCAAGAAAACTTCAGGGCTTGGACCAAGCCTTCTCCAAAAACTGGACACAAATGAATCCTTTGAAAAGGTTTCTTCAAAGGACCATGAAACCTGATACGGAAAAAAAACACCTGGTAAGATATTAGCTGGTTCCTAATGAGTCAGGCCTCTCTTGCTGTCTGTCTCTGTCCAAGAATTGGCTCGTGACCGAGGTGTTCTTCCAATCATGATTGGCCTTCAAGGCATCTGGCCGAGCAAAGCTTCCATCGGCATTTTCACCCCCTTCTTACTCACCTGTTTGGGAGTGTTGTTTTTTTTTTGCTAGTGGAAGAGATGCCAAATGGGTGATAGCTATCAAAGGACTTGAGGGTGACAGGATAGCAGCCTCCCAATATCTCAGGGGCTGCCCCCAAGAAGGGAAGGGGGTCACGCTGTTTTCCAAAGCCCCTGAAGGCAGGACAAGAAACAAGGGATGGAAACTCATCAAGGAGAGAAGCAACCTGGAGCTAAGGAGAAACTTCCTGATATTGAGAATAATGAACCAGTGGAACCCCTTGCCTCCAGAAGTTGTGAATGCTCCAACACTGGGAGTTTCTAAGAAGAGATTGGGCAGCCATCGGTCTGCAATGGGACAGGCCAGGCTTCCTGCCAAGGCCTCCGAGGTCCCTTCCCACTCGGTTCTTTCGTTAGGCACCTTCAGCTCAAACAGAAGGTCTTTTCAAACTGACAGCAAATTCTCTGCTCTAGAAGGAAAAAGTGTGCCAGCCTGTGCATTTTGACGACGCAGTTAGGATGGATTTGACGGACCATCTTGCGGTGGTTTGCATTCTGACATGGCCTGATAAAAACCTGGCATACTGTAGAAAACACAAATATCGGCCTGATTTATTCCTGGCTGTTTAGATGATTCAAACGTCAAAATTTCTTAGTGATCTTTTATTTCTACCACGTTCTCTGCTGGTTTGCTGTTTCGGGGTGACTTTTTAATTGTTGTTCGTTTTGTTTTGCTGCGAGTCGCTGGTCGAACTTTCTTTCCAGAACAGAATTTAGCAAACGGGGTTTTGGGAAAAGGATGAATTCAGCCATTTCAGACCTCGGTGCCCATACAGGGGGTTCGGCGACTTATGACTAACATTGGGAGAAGAATTTACGTTGCTCGTCAAGGCGTTAAGTGAGTCTCATCCAATTTTTGCCCCCATTGCTATAGCTGTTAAGCCCCAGTTGTTAAGTGAATCTTTTGTTCATTAAACAAATCTGATGTTCCCCATTGACTTCGCTTGTTGGGAGCCGGCTGGGAAGATCCCAAATGGCCATCACAGAACCCCGAGAGGCTGCCACCATGGTAAACACGGGTAGTCCTCGACTTTACAGCGGCTCAGTTAGTGATGGTTCGAAGGAAAAAGTGACTTATGACCATTTTTTCACTCTTACGAATGTTGAAGCATCCCTACGGTCATGTGACCATGATCAATTCTCCATCTCCCTCCATTACGGTACAGCGCCTAAGCAGGGGTTGGACTAGAAGACCTTCAGGGTCCCTGTTATTCTACAACAAGAAGTACAGGTACGGTCCTTGACTTATAACCACAATTAAAGACCCAACTTTTCTGTGGTTTAAGCATTTGTTCAGTGAGTTCCGCCCCATTTTACGACTTTTTCTCGCCACGGTTGTTAAGTAAATCACGGCAGCCGTTCTGTTAGTGACGAGGTTAAGCCCCGCAGAGCCAGCCTTTTCCGTGCTGCTTCATCAATTCCTCGGCCACCGGAAGGCGGGCAAAGTGCGGCCCATGGATCCCACGTGCGCCCCCTTTTTCGGTGCAGAGCAGGAAATTTCTTGAAAAGCATTCAGAGAAGAAAAGCAAGAACCCCCCCCCCCCCCCCCCCCCCCCCGGGGAGCCAGCAGCCGTGAATAATCCCCCCCCACACACACACACACCTCCACTTGCATGCTCTCCCGCTCCCTCCCCAAACACCACCAAAGGCTAAAAGCACACCCACCCTGGCAAACCTCCAAGAAGCCACAGAAACCGGCCACACCTCGGCCGAGTGTGCAACTAGATATGTTTTTTCTTTTTCGTTTTTTTGCAAAAGGGTGGATCTGATTCCCGAAGCGGTTCTGAGAAGCTTGTGAAGCTGGCTTTCTGCCCAGGTTTGGGCTTAATGCTGTGTTTTTGTTTTGTTTGCGGGGGGGGTGCACACTGCTCTGTCCTGTTTTATTGTGTTTGTTTTTAAATCTTGTTTTGTCTACCTTTTTAACTCTTCCAAGCGCGTATGAGGCGCAGCATGCTGCCCAGAATCCATTGGAGTGGGCGGCCACGCCACACTGAATGAAAAAAAAAAGTTATTATTGGGGTTGCAAGGATGGCAATTAGCCCGAACAGGCCCTGGGCCTCCTTCCTGCCTCCCCCTCCTTCCAACCTGACTTACTAGACGGGGGAGGTTAGCACCCTTGAATGGCTGCCTGCTCGTCTTTCGCTCATAACGCGAGCTCGTTTGCCCTGATTAAAATGCAAACTTGGTTTTCGAGGGCTGTGCACCCAGGCTATTAATACGATGCTTTGTTATTTGGGTTTGAAAAAGATGCCTGAGCTTCTGGGAACAGAAGCTGCCTCTCTCTCTCTCTCTCTCTTTCTTTCTTTTTCTCTCCCTCCCTCCCTCTCTCTTTCTTTCTCTCCCTCTGTTTCTCTCCCTCTCTCTCTTTCACTCTCTCCCTCTCTCTCCCCCCCCGTCTTTCCCTCTCTCTTTCTCTCCCTCTCTCCCTCTCCCTCACTTCTCAGTCATCCAGGTCATGGTTGTCCCAAAGGTGCTTTTTGAAAAAGGCAACTGGATGTTGTTTTTTCTTGAAGAGGTTTCACTTCTCACCTAAGAAGCTTCCTCAGTTCTGTCTGGAGACTGAGTCAGAACTGAAGAAGCTTCTTGGATGAGAAGGGAAATGTCTTCAAGGAAAAATAAAGTCCAGCTGCCTTTTCAAAAAGCTCCTTTGGGACAGTCTTCATCTGGAATGGGCTAACTCGCTGCAGGACAATTCAACCCATCAATGTAATTATTTAAAATACTTTAAAAATTCATTTAATAGTTGTCATTCACATTTCATTCTGTCTCTCTTTTTGCCTCCTTTCTTTGATGGTTCTATTCCTCAATTTCTTCCATATTAGGGCAACTCTTGTCCCGTGGCAAGTTGGCCGTGGCAAGTTGTGGTTCTAACTCGAGGAGTCCCCGTGCTGTGTTTCTTCAACCCCTTGTGTTACATTCTGCTTCCTCGCCCTCTGAAATGCTCACACCACCCAATGCGCAGGGCGTCCCGCCTAAGGAGGGTTCGATTGTCATGCTGTCGAAATGGGCTTTGCTCGTGGAGCGTGGCATGAACTTCCTTGATTGGGGCTGATTCAGTAAACCCTGGTTAGCTCCAGCGGGCTGCAATGTGCAAACCGCATTGTGTTAGGCTCATCTTGAATCCCCAGAACTAGATTTATTTCATTTATTTTTGCTGACAGAACCGTCTGTGATTTGATGGCCATGGGAATTGAAATACAATTCCTCTTAGTTGCTGCCTCGACGGATCGTAGAAGCATAAATCTCAGGCTCCAACCTTCGATGCGAGAAAAGGTTTAAAAATGAGGTTTCAGGATATAATTTACTCTGCTCTTTGCTTAAAAAGCAGCTTCTCTGGCATCAGCAGTGCCATTCTCCGTCATCATTGTAGATTGCAGTGGTAAGGCCACACCTGGAATCCTGCATCCGGTTTTGGTCACCTCTCAATAAAAAAGACGTTGAGACTCTAGAAAGAGTGCAGAGAAGAGCAACAAAGATGATTTGGGACTGGAGGATAAAACATATAAATAATGATTGCTGGAATTGGGTATGTCTAGTTTAATGATAAGAAGGACTAGAGGTGACACGATAGCAGTCTTCCAGGGGCTGCCCCAAAGAAGAGGGAGTCAAGCTATTCTCCAAAGCACCAAGAAGGCAGGACAAGAAGCAACGGATGGAAACTGGTCAAGGAGAGAAGCAACCAAGAACTAAGGAGACGTTCCCTGACTCTGAGAATAATTAATCAGGGGAACCACTTTCCTCCAGAGGTTGTGCCTGCTCCAACATTGGATGTTTTAAAGAAGATTTTGGATAATCATTTGTCTGAAATGGTGTAGGGTTTCCTGCCTAAGCAGGGGGTTGGTCTAGAAGACCTCCAAGGTCCCTTCCAACTCTTCTATTCTCTTCTATTCTCTTCTATTCGAGTCTATAAAGCTGAAAACCAGAAGGAGGAAATAGAATGAAACTGGATTGCAACAGAAAGAACAGAGAAAGAGAAAGCAGGCGGCCAAACTGCAGTCAGTAAAACTCGGGAGATCCACAAGGAACATTACATTTTTTTTTTTTTTAAATGGCTGAGGAGCTTCCCATAGGATGATGGGGTTGTAGCTCAGGTGTGTAGCCCATGGCCATCTTTTTCCCTCCAAGGAGCAGACCCTAATTTAGCCCTTGAATGATGTGCTGAGATAGATATTCCAGAAGAGACTGGCTGGAGCCTGGACGAAGACTTAAATCTGATTTAATTTCCTTTCTATTGCAAGGCCATTAAAAACTAAGTAGAAGAAATCACAGTTCCGCTCATGCATTAAATGTGGATGTTCCCCTTCGATCAGAGGAAAGATGGACAATTTTAAGATCCCCCAATCTTTCGTCCAGGGGTACACTCCGTATGTGGCTTGATTTTGGCTATCGCAGAGTAGAGGGGGCCCCCCCCCCCCCCCCGTTAACTGGTTTTTTTAAAAAAAATTGGAGAAGCAGCCTGTAAGGGAAGTGTTAGCAGTTTCTTAATTTCCTGCCTAGCCAAAAGGACAGGAAACGAGAAGAGTTTGGCCTAATGATTAAGGCACCAGGCTAGAAAGCAAGAATCTGTGAGTTCTAGTCCTGCCATAGCCATGAAAGCCGGCAGGGTGATTTGGGGCCAATCCTTCCCTTTCGGCTCAACCCACCTCACAAGGTGGTGGTTGTGGAGAAAATTGGAGGAAAGTATGTTGGATATGTTCACCACCTTCAGTTATTTATAAAAATAATAAAGGTGGAATACAAACACATATTTGAAAAAAATAAAACTGAAAAAGCCTAAAACATAAGCAGAGGATTCTGCTCCTGGGAGGAGACAGTGCCGTCTTAAACCAGAAATCTGGGTTTAGAATGACGAGCCATTGAGGAATCCTGGCTTAAGTGACGTGCAATTTGCTCTGTATCTGACGCCTTATAACCAAAGTAACAAAATAACAGAGCTGGAAGGGACCTTGGAGGTCTTCTAGTCCAACCCCCTGCTTAGGAAGGAAACCCTACACCACTTCAGACAAAGGGTTGTCCAAGCTCTTCCTTAAAACTTCCAGGGTTGGAGCATTTACAACTTCTGGAGTCAAGTGGTTCCCCTGGTTAAATGTTCTGACTGTCAGGTTGCTCCTCTCCTTGATGGGTTTCCAGTGAGGTGCCTCTTGTCCTGCCCTCGGGGGGCTTTGGGGAATGGGGTCTGTGGAGATTCTCAGCCATCCAGGTCCTGGTTATCCCCAAGGGGCCTTTTTTCAAGAGGCCACTGGACTCTGGTTTTTCTTTGAAGACATTTCGCTTCTCATCCAAGAAGCTTCTCCAGCTCTTCTTTTCTCTTCTCTCTTCTGAAGAAGATGAGAAGTGAAACATCTTCAAAGAAAGTCCAGTTGACTCTTTCAAAAAAAAAAAGGGGCACCTTTGAGACTTTGGAGAATAGCTGGACTCCCTCTTGCTCCGCCACTCCATGTTTTGGGCTTCTGCGTGGCCTGGAGATCAGGATGGAATCTCTTGGGTTTGTTTCTTCGGCGGATTAATGAGTCGGCCCCAACCATTCATCCTTCCTCTTTCTGACCCAGCCATCAAAGTGAGCTGCGTGGGCTCCTGTGGCGTCTCCAACAAGATAAACGACACTGCGTGGACCGTGGAAGAGCAGTATTTCAACACGACGCTGTCCCTGGCCGATAAAGGTGAGAAAGAAGCAACTCTTCGGGAGAGGAAGCTAAAGAAGAAATACGGGCTAGGTGGCTGGCTTGTTTTTCAGGCTCTGCTTGAACCAGAAGTTGCTTAACTTCTCAATTTTCTTCCTTTGGTTGGCCTGGCTGGCAGAAAGAGAATTATTGGATGGAGAGCTGAGAGTTTTGAGGTGATGGGGCCAAATCACCAGGAGATGGTGAGTTCTAGTGCTGGTTTAGGCATGAAAGCTGGCTAATCACCAGGAAACTGTGAGTTCTAGTTCCAGTTTAGGCATGAGTGGGTAACCTTGGGCTAATCATGAAAAGACAGTGAGTTCTAGTTCCATCTTAGATATGAAAGTCAGCTGGGTGACTTTGAGCCAATCACCAGGCGACGGTGAGTTCTAGTCCTGCCTTAGCTACAATAGCCAGCTGGATGACTTTGGGCCAGTCGCTCTCTCTCAGGCCAGCCCTCCCGACAGGATTGTTGTTTCATTGACAGGGTTGCACAATTTGTCGACTCAGCCGCCCTTGGGCTCCCCCAACCCTTGTAAGCCCTTGACAATGATAGAGTTTTATACCCTCTACCATTAATCAAAGAAGGCAGGTTAAGATTTAGCAGGAGCTGTGGGGGAGAGAAGAGGAGGAGGAGGAGGTAGAGAAAGGAGGCTGTCCTTCAGGAAGATTATCTGAAAGAACCAGCACAAAATAATGAGGGGAGGGAAACTTTCCAATCCTCTACCCAGCCAAGCCTCCAGCTGCAACTTCCTCACTGGAAGAAAAGCAGCCAAATTCTCTGCATAAAGTTCAAGGTGCCGAGAAACAAACTGGCTATTGTGGAATTCTGAGCAGGAGGCTGGGAGGGAAATCCCACCCTGGACACAGTGACCTCGGCTTCGGGATTTGCCACTCCTCTGCCTCCTAATCTCCGGAGCCCGTTTCTGCCTCCCTGCCCCCCCCCCCAGAACAAAGCAGGGCGCATCAGGGGCTAGTTTGCAAAATTTAGCTTACAGAAAAGGGAGAGGAATTTTAAGATTGCTTGGGAGGGGGAGGAAAAACAGGAAGGAGAGGATGAGGAGAAAGGAGAAGGAAGAGAAAGAAGGAGAGGAAAGAGAAGAGGAGAAAGGAGAAGGAAGAGAAAGAAGGAGAGGAAAGAGAAGAGAAAGGAGAAGGAAGAGAAAAAAGGAAGGAGAGCAGAAGGAAGGAGAGGGGCAGGCTGCACTATACATTTTGTAAGGGTAATAAATGAAGACCACCTTCCCGCAGTCTAAGGAATTTGTAACACTGTCCTCATGAAGCACGTGGCGGGAGGAGGTGGCTCAACCAACCAACCAACCAACCAACCAAGAGAGCCAACTGGTTGAGGTATGAATGATTTCAGACTACAAAGACCAGCTTGAAGAAGAGGTGTCTATAAGGTTACATCCTCCTCCCCCTCCCCCCCCCATTCCCTTCCCTAAACTACAAACCTTCCCCTTTATTGGAAAGACCAACCAAAAAGCCTGGGGATCAAAAAAAAAAAAAAAAAGAGCCCGCCCCAAGAATTCAGGGCCTTGACCTGGAGGCTGGAAGACCCCCCCCAGGATTTCAACTCTGGCCGATCCCCTGCATGCAGAGCGGGTTCCACCTAACTAAGGCATCCACGGCACTTGAGGTGTTTGAAGTTCCTGCCAGGGTCTTCTGCTGAGCCGCCAGGGACCAGCGAGGCCAACGTCCTCCATTTTGCAACCCAGGCCTCCGGCAGAGAGCAAAGACGGTCACTCCCCCCCCCCCCCCCCCCCCCCAAGCAGGAAACGTAAAAGCCTGAGCGCCCTTCGGCCCACACCTGTCGCCTCCTGGCTCCTGTTTGTTGCACTTGACGTCACCTTCCTCCCCATTTGCGGTGAGGTGAAATGAATCATCCACCTGGCAACCAGGACTTCTTGGCCGTAACAGGAGGAGACGGGATTCGGGTCAGCACTTCAGCCACCCTCAGTTAGGTCACATGCAGCTTTAAATGCTCCGAAAGTGGGGGCAAGTTCAGAGAGGGGTCCCTGTCCTTCTGGAGGACACCAAGCATATATATATATAGTCCCGCAACATGTGTCTCTGCAAGAGGCTGGCCTTCTCTTAGCTCCACGTTTGGAAGCAAAGCAAAGTTAGAGCTTGTGGATCTGTGGAGATAAAGAAGGAATTTCAGAGACCAAACACTACTCCTCACTACCACTGATGAGGTTACCTAGTTTGGTAATGAAATGTCTGCAAGAAAACATCCATGTTCACATAGTGCCAAGGACTCCCCCAATCATCATCATCTCCTCCTCCTCCTCCTCCCTAGTTTGTAATGAAATGTCTGCAAGAAAACAACCATGTTCACAGAGCACCAAGAACCCCACCATCCTCCTGGACAACTAACCTGGAACTAAGGAGACATTTTCTGACAGTGAGAACAAGCAACCAACGGAAGAGAAGTTGTGGGAGCTTCATCCCTGGAAGCTTCCAAGCTTCCAAGAAGAGACTGACAGAAATGGTGTAGGATCTCCTGCTTGGGCAGAGGGGGAGTAGCTAGACTAGATGACCTATAAGGTCCCCTCCAACTCTGTTAATCTGCAAAGGCTAGAAAAAGGGATTTTATTTTATTTTATTTTACAAAGGAGAGTTTGATTGCTGCACCCAAATGCCTTCTAGGGGCGGGTGAGGAATGAGATCCGACTCATTTTGCCGGCTGGTGGGTCCCACATACTCCTACTACCCCCCAGGGCTTTTTAGAAAGACAAGGGGCCCAATGGACTCAGGACAAACAGGCAGGTTTTCAGCGAGGAAACCAGCCGCAAAAGGGAAAAACGGGTGGAAAGAAAGCTGGAGCGTGTAAGAAACGCGCACCCTGCCCCCCCCCCCAGGTTACAAAGTCTGGGGCAAAAAGCAGCTCGACCGGTTTCTTCCTCCATTCCGTCCAATTCTCTCTCTCTCTTGCTTGCTTTTCTTTCTCCTCTGATGACTCAACCCCAAATTCCTCTGCTGTACACACCCCACTCCCCTGGTTGCTGAATGACGGTTGCAAATCAAGGACTATTTGTCTGGGTCTGTCTATACCTATCATCTATAATCTATCTATCTATCTATCTATCTATCTATCTATTATCTATCTATCTATCTATCTATCTATCTATCTATCTATCATCTATCCTTTCTATATCTGTCTATATCATCTATCATCCGTCCATCCATCCATCTATCTATCCATCTATCTATCTATTTTTTGCAACCTTCTGACAATCAAAGTCAATGGGGAAGCCTGATTCACTTAACAACCGTGTTGCTGACTTAATCAACTGCAGTGATCCACTTAACAGCAGCAAGTAATGTCATAAAGTGGGGCAAAATTCACTTAACAACAGGAATTTGGGCCTCCATTGGGATCATAAGTCAAGGACTACCTACCCCAGCTATTTCTATGACCACAAACCCACCTTAATCAGCCAACCCCAAATCAAAGTGTCGGTCTTTCCAGCCAAGGGGCAAAATGCAAAATGGGAAGAAAATGAGATACGTCCTTTTCTTTGAATTCTTTTCCATCCATTGAGCCACCAGCTTTTTGTTCGCTTTTTGCTGCGAGAAATCATATATATATTTCTGCTTACACCTATGAATGACTTCCTGCTCTTTTCCATGGACTTTTACTTCAATTGTGAGAGGCAAATCTGCAAGTCATGCTGGGCCGAGCCAGAAACTTAGGCATTGTTTCTTGCTAACGGGAGAGGAAGAGAATGTATTGGAAAAAGGAGCAAAAATGTGTGTGTGTGTGTGTTGTGTATTTTTCCCCCCTGCAAAGTTTTGCAGCTTGATTTTCTTCTCTTTTGTGTGCTTGGCCCCACTTTGCAAGAAGCTGGCAGGGTGAAATGTGTTTTCCAGCCATTTGGGGAAGGAAGGCAGCGGCTTTTCGACATAATACCTGATATTTTTTTTCTTTCTTTCCCAGAGGTATTTTTAGCTGGGGGGAAAAAACTTTTGTGAAATACTTCTGTGCAGGAAGACACTGGGCTCTTTGTCCCAGGGAGAAAAACGGATCACGTTTTTCCCAGTGCCGTCGCGACTTCAGACGGGCACTAAACGAATATTAAGTCGAAGGCTACTTGTTGGTGGGTCCAGAAGACATCAGGAATTGAGCAGGACTCTCGGAGTCAAAACTGGAAAGAGAGGCAGCCTCTTTAAAAGAGATGGAGGGTCAGAAAAAGAGGAAGTGCAACGTTGATTGCCAGGAGCCTCTTTCAATTCCTGTGGTGACAAATGGCCGAACTTTTTTCTCCTCCTTTTCTCATGGAGGGGAAGAAGCAACAGCGGCACAGGCCAAGATAAACCCCACGTGTCCTTAGTTGCTCCAGAAAAGACCCCCCCAAAATTCTTTATTTGGCAAACAAGCCCCCACATTTAGCCACTCTTGGATGGGCTTCAACGTTTCTCATCTTCTTCCCACATTGATTCAAGAAGCAGCTGCGAGTCATCAACGTAGGGTTGGAAACAAAACCAGATGGAAAATGACCAAGTCCTTTTTGGTGTTTGTTTTTTTTTGCAAGCCTGGACCTTGGATTGCAGCCCATGGCTAATTGATCTCCCCCTGCAAAAGATGACCGTATTTCTGAACGATAGACGGTCTTCCCGGATCCTGTAATATTCTTTGGGTCTTTGGTAGGAAGTTGCCCCTGAGTTTTTGGGTACCGGCTGTCTGTGCATCCTGTGCAATTCTCCCCTGAATCTTAAAAGGCTTTTCGGATCGATGGTTTTATTAGCGAGGCTGATGGAGCTCTTCTCTACTGTCTTTGAGTCCCTGAGATCTGGATTCATCACACCTGAACTATTGGGGTGGAGGAGAAGAAATCGCAGTTTTTTGGACTGGTTCTCGCATTCTCCATCATCCAGCAAGCTTTAAATATGGATAAAGGAGAATATTTGTAGCTCCGGGTTGAAATGAGGGCTCCTTGGTGCTCTCTGAGCTTCCTTGGTTTTCTTGAAGACGTTTCATGACCGAACTAGGTAGCATCGTCAGTGCTAGAAGGGAGTGAGGAGGTGGAGGAGGAGGACTAGGACCGTGGGGTCTGAGCTTGATGGTTTTCTTGAAGATGTTTCATGACCCAACGAGGTAGCAATGTCAGTGCTAGTGGGTAGAATGCTAATAAGCAACAAATCCCACACTCGCTATCATTGAAGGTATTATCTAGTTGGGTCATGAAACGTCTGCAAGAAAACAACCAAGCTCAGAGATCATCAAGGACCCCAGAGTCCTAGTCCTCCTCCTCTTCCTCCCTTCTAGCACTGATGATGTTACCTAGTTTGGGTCACGAAACGTCTGCGAGGAAACCACCCAGCTCCCAGAGCACCAAGCACCCAGCTCCATAACCGTTTCCAAGCAGAATGAATCTTCCTCCATCATTTCTTGATCTAAAACACCCCCAACAAGATGGATGGTTTGCTCATCGGATGGCCGGCCAAATATCTGACTTTTTCCTCTCTTTTTTTGCTCTTCTGTTTTTCAGGGATGTTGACCACTGGCGAGCACACCTTTCCATTCCGTTTTTTGCTGCCAGGTACTTGGGATTTTTCTTCCTGTTCTCTGGTACAGGTTTGTGATTATCCTGCAACTCCACACTTCTCCCTTTAACTCTCCGCATGCGGCCTAGAGGTGGAGCTCTCGCCTTACAATCAGGAGGCTGTGAGTTCGATCCTGGATCTCTCTGGGCACAATGAGAATATATCTGCAGAACAAAACTCTGCGTTGGTGACAGGCAGGCCATCCAGCCAGGAAACCCTCTGCTAGCTCCATTCAGTTGCCCAGGCTCTGCCTCACCAGGGATGATGGGGTCATTAAACGATGATGATATGTGCTTTCATCTCTGATCGATTGGGGTGGTAAACATTGAAATGCCAGCTGCGGTTCAGAGGTTTGGATGAAGTGAGTGGCAATGGGCGGATTACAATATTAGGCATGGTAGACACATCTGGAGTGGTTTTCCTCCAAGCTCTATTTATTTTATTTTTCTTATTTCCTTGGTGGAAACCTGCCTGGATCTTTTAGGATACAAGAGCGTTAGAAATAAACAAGTTAGTTTTAAACTGATTGGCCAGGCATTGTAATTGTTCAACTTTTGATCAGTTTAACTTTGGGCCAAAATGAAATAATTGCTCTAAACCCCAGTCTGAAGTTGGATCATTGCTTGGTCTTGTTATTCCCTTTCTTTCTTTCTTTCTTTCTTTCTTTCTT